TTACTTAGATTACAAGTGCTCAACAAATGTTCATACATTGCTAAACAAATAAATGAATAAACATGGTCACATTTTATAGTTATATGAACAGCCTTAGAAAACCCCAAATTAAAGGTAATTGAGAATGTGGGTATTCAAATATTCAATACAGTATTTAAAAGCACTGTTAGGATTTCTTTAAATCTGCACTTAGGTATTTAATTATAATTGTTCAAACACTTTATTATACTTAGGTTACTTCCTTTTTGAAACTATTCTTAGCATTCTTATTAATTTGATTTTAAGGCCGAAACACTGAAGCCCTTAAGGAAAAGAGAAAGCTCAGACTCAATTACCATAGCAACTCTAAATCTATCGCACTATATTTGTATACGGGAGTTTGATTTAAATACATGAATGTATGTGAATTTGCAATGTGTCTAAGCTGTAGTTGCTATAGAAACCATACTTCGAATTTCCTTTTAAATTTAGTAAGTGCTCACATGTGAAAACTGATCCCCCTAGACAGCTATCTGGAGTTGCAGATATAGCTCATAGCAACAAATTTACAAACATCGTGATTCACAATGATTTATGTACTTAATAGATATCTAACATTATGCAAATATGTATTTTAATACATGCCCCCTGGTTGGTAGATCAAAACCAATTCCAGATGCAACTCCTAAGAATGTAGACCGTAAAACTTGGCCAGGCAGCCATCCAACCTTATGTGATAGCCTCTGCTTATGCTAAAGCTTGTTACATCAAGGTAAGTTACCCAACTATACACAGAAATCAAACTACCCTACAGCTTCTCTGAATCGACAGAAGAAAAGCTTTTATCTGTATTGAAATGACAGAAAAATCTAGCATGTTTTAACAAAAACAGAATGCACCAAGGATGGGGGGCATATCTATTTTATACATAAGCAAACGCTCTCTGGCACATGGCTATATAAGTAGTCTGCACGATGTCAAAGTACATTTTTTTTCTTGGTAATGTAGACAGAGTCCTCTTGTGATTATCATCATGGTTATAATCCACTTCATGATCATTTTTTCCACTCTAATCTGGTCCTTCTGTCATACAAAATGTTTTGAAGCTGTCACTTACTACTCTTACCGTGCAATAGACAAGTTAATTTTCATATTAGCCTAAGGAATTATTTGGGGAGAGAGAAATTCACTGCAAAAATGAATCGAGTATTCCAAAGCCAAAAATGAAAAAGTAACTGAGGAGCAGCTCCTGTTTTGGATTATACCACCCACTGCTTGTTTCCACCAATACCAACGATTAAGAAATGGCCAAGGCTTGGAGGTGGGAACAGAAATTACTACTAAATGTTACTGATCTGGCACCCCTGTGAGATAAATGTGATACAGATATGCGAATTTCCCAGGCAGCTGACCATCAATCACCTCATCAAGTACTTTAATCTGTCCTAAATTTTAGATGTACAAAATCAGGATTGTGTATGAAGAGAATGGCCTTGAGTGGCTTCAGACCATAGGCGCGGAGACCAGTTGAGAGACTATAAACATAGAGTTCATGGGGGAAATGATTCAGAGTCAATATTATAAACAGAGAAGTATAACAGAATCCTAAGAATTATAAGGGACCAATGACAGTTTTGATAAGTGCATTCTGGCGTCACATAGACACTGAAGACTACCAAGAAGCATGGAGCTATTTGATTTTGTGATAAAGATCCCAGCTACCACTAGGCTTATTAGTAACGTTTTGTTACATTTTTTGGCTCTTCTTTTACTGATATTTGTACTTTCTGTTGATACCTGTGTATTCCTTGCCTTAATGAGTTATGTGCTAAGAATCTATATCCCCAGGTTTATTATGCCTAAATTAAGAAAGAGCAAGTAGGCTCTGAATAAGTATCCTCGAAATTCTCTCACACATAAAAAGTGTATAAATTTTATGGCACAGATTTTATTATAAAACACCTATTCTGACTCTTAGAAGACATTTTTGGCTTACATTTTCTTGGCTGTATTCCCAATAACTAGGGAAAATGAGGCCTTTTGAAAAATGAGGTCTTCATGCATTCACAGGAGCCTTTTTCTTATCATGGCTTTTAATAATAATGTTCTATATGTGATGTATACTTTGCTATAATTTTACTCCTAGTATAGTTTTACTATCCCACAATGCCCAAAAGTCAGAACATATTTTATTTAAAAGGGAATGACTGATTTGACTTCTGAAAATATCCTTTCTCCCTAATGAAGATCAATGAGGCAAACATGGTCAGGGTATCAGGAACACGGTCTCAGGAATTACTGCCTTCTGGAACATTATAAACCAAATTTATTATCTGTTGACTTTAATGTGTTTGCTGAGCTTTGTCACTTGAGAGGTTAAGCTCTGGAAAATATATATTTCTCTTTCAGGTTCATGGACATTCTATCAAAATGGCAAGTTTCTCTGTGGCTCTTGTGAAAGACGGATGAGGGAATTCCTAGCAAACGAGGCCAAGGCAGCATAATGACAGTGCTGTTTGGAGGAGGAGGAGTGTTGGTGTCAATGTTAAAAAAAAAACAAAAAACTAAGGACACGTTATGACTATGGAAGAAAAATATTCTGAAGTCTATCCAATTTCACCATTAAAAACTTAAAAAAATAGCGGTTGAGTTTCAAGACCAATCTGTCCATCATTCACAGCTATAAAAAATGACATTAAGATAAGAAATGCCAGACACCCTTGATTTTCTCACCTCCCTGTCCTCCCACTTCATGGGCCCCCAAATCCCAGACTCTGGAGAGCATACATCGTCCACCTTCTCCATTCCAGATCCTAGACTGATGAAAGTTGCTGACAAAAGTTGAAGGCCAATTTGAACTGCCATAAATATTTGCTGCCCAAACTCCTTGTGGCTTAAATTTTACTCTACCTCTTTCATCACTTCAGCTCCAGAAAAATAAATATCCCCCTTTCCTTTCTAACCCTCTATCTATGCCCGTGACCTCAATTTTCTTCTCTCCAGCTTTAGGATCATGCTCCACCAATTTCTTCTCTTCTTCCTGCTTTCCATTATTCCTTCTCCAAGGACCTTTCTCTCATCTTACAAACCTACTCATTTTGCCTTATCCTAAAAGCAAACAAAAGCAGATCAGTAAGAATATCATCATCTCTTTCCCTTATACCAACCAAATGGCTTTTATTTCCTTATAAATTTGTTAAGGTCGAATCTACTCTTACTACCTCTAATCCACCCTTGTTAAATTGCTGCAATCTAGACTTACGCCCTCAGCATTTTAATGGGCCGATTCTCTAAAGGACTATTAATCATCTGTTAGGAGTCAGACTTCTTTGGCCTATTTTCAGGCTTTACCCTGTATGATATCTCCACAATTAATATTTGGCACTGTTGGTGACCCCTCTTCCTAGAAATTTCCTACTGTTTGTTCTCTGAGGCTGAACACCCCTGGTTTTCTTCCTTATGTTCATCTTTTTCTCAGCTTCTTCTTTTTCCTTCTTCCCCCTTGAATGTATGTATTTCCAAAGAGCTGTGCTTAGTTTTCTCTGTTTTACATAGGCTCACCCATTCTACAGGCTCCAAAGTTGGGTTTTTATAGTGTGTCCACACCCTTCCTCCAACTCATTCCTCAACCCACTCCTGGTCCCATCATCCCACTGAAGGGAGGAATCATTCAAGTGGAGAAATCCAATGGATTCTTCCAGATCACATTTTACTTGACTTCTCAGTAGATATAGACACTGTTGACCATTCTGCTCCCTTCTGTCTGCTTCCCTGACACTCCCTAGTTTCCGTCAATCTTTCTGGCATCCTCCCTACTTCCTACACCAGCCCTTCCTCCTCCACTCAGCCAGTAAATGTCAGAGCTCCTCAAGGCACTCTCCCCTTATCATTCAGTATTCACTTCCAGCTTCCATAAATGGACATATGGAAAACTCACAAATACTTCCCTCTAGCCCACACTCCTTTGAGCACCAGACACACACGGGCACCCCCCCCATACACACACACACAAACTGCCTATTTAGATATATTCTTAGATGTTGCAAAGGAATCTCAAACTCAGTATGTTCAAAACTAACTTACAGTTTTTTCCCAAATTTGGTTTTCTTTCCGCATTTCCTGAATAATTACCCCCCCCCACTCAATCCTTCTAGGGGCTTGCGACAAACCGAGACACGTCTGACTCCAGTATTCATCCATTACCCATATTGGGCATGAATAAGAAATTTGTATTATTTGCAAAAGGTTACTGACTGAGCAAGTACAAACACTGGGTTCCACATGTGGGACAGAAACATGGTTTCTGAGGATTTCATTGTTTAATTGTCCAGTACTTGACTGGTGTTTATAATAATGACCCAATTTTATAAGGACATGCTCTGCCTGATAAAGTGTGCTTTTTATAGCAGGGATGTTTATAATATATTTTAGAAAGATTTTTAACCACAAAAGTTTAACAAGTTTTAAAGTTCCAGATATTTACCCTCAATGCCTTCACTTTTGGAGAAAGCTGGATAAAGGGGCTATTGCTGAGTGTTTTTACAGAAAAACTGGCATTGCCTATACAAGAGATAGGATGTATATAGTTCATGAATTTCCTTTGAGGACTACGGATGGTGAACCATATTTAAAAGCATCATTTAGTTCATACTCTGGTCTATACCGCCGGCAATTAAGCAATGACAATATTTCAGTCAAAATCTAAACAGACTATTTGAAATTTCTTAGGAAAACCAGAAGGAGAAGGAAACCTATCCCTGGAGTATTATTTTAACATCCAGCTTCAGTGATATAACATGAATAGCTCTGTCTTTTTAATAGTTTAAATCAAGATTGTTAGATTAATGACAAATGGGTCACAGGAAGATAAATGTGGTCAGACAGAAACAATAAAAACCATCCAAAGGCATTAAAAATATCGACTGCTGGGAAGAATCAATCACAAACACACAGCAAAGCACAGGAGGGTCTGAGCTATCTTCTAAAATGAAAGTGACTCAGTGATTTCATAGTGACAATACCTGCTGTTGGGGAGTTTGCATGGTGAGACTTTTTCGGCAGGTTGAAGATCTGTTCACCAGGGTCTGGGGGAGGAATTGCATCTTGCCCTTGTCGTGCCTCTACGGGATCATACTCCTTCCCATCATAGTTAGCATCGTAGAATTTCTTAAACCACTGAATAAAATCCAGGTTGTCTTGGAAACGTCCTTTCACTAGCTTCTCCACTGGAATTACCTGCAACATAAAATCGCTATGTGAGTTACAAGCCTCGTGTTTGTTTGTATTTAACACAACTAAAGTATTCCCTAAATATAACTATTTCTTGGAATATTTAATAGTTCTCTTGGAATATTAACAGTTAATATTTTAATATTTAATATCATCTAATGATTCTCTTGGAATATTTAACACTGTTGAATAAACCAGACAAAAGAAGGAATACCCTTAGCTGCCGAGAGGGGCTGATCTCCCTCATGGTATATTTATTGTCAAAGCAACTCCCCACAAAAACAGAGGCTTGGGATGTTCTGCTATTTCAAGACTGATGAGCTTTCCTTATTTCTTTGTAACACTTGGCCCAGCTGTGTTGGGATAAACTCTTATAAAGGTTATAGCTATTAGAGAGTGCAGAGACTGAAATCAATGAAAACAGATACTAATCTAATGGTTCATATGAAACAAAATGAGCTTTCCTGGGGTTTATTTATTATGTATAGAGACAAATATGGAAACAATTAACCACAATATAGGGCCCAGTAATTCATGGGCTACCCCGGAGCACACAGCTCCTGTGCCAGGGAGTACAGAGGAAAAGAAAGGGAGGCTGATTAAGGGGGCCATCGAGAGCTCTGGGGTTGGGGGGAGGGAGGTACACAGCATTCGCATCACCTTCCAAGACACGAATTTCAGCCTCTGCAACCTGAAGAGCCAACCAGTATTCCCTAGAGAGGTCTTACAGGAACTTTCAGAATTATGACAAGGAAAAGGTATGGTTAGACTGTTTAATTTAGCAGGCCACTATTTTTTTTGAAGGAAAATGGAAAGGTATGTAAGGTATCCAAATTACACCACTGCTGGATTCTAACTTCATATGTCTTTGGGTGGGAACACTCGTTGAATGTGAACCAGGAGAGAGTTACAAAGCGAGGGTGTGAGTCAGATTGTGTGTATCTGTGTGAGCATGTGATTCAACAAGCTCATGGCTCTGCTGTGTGACAAGATGAATGGAAGCTGTGTAAATTAAACTTTCGGCAAGGCTGTGCCACTTTAGAGCTGTATATCGTTGATATCCTAAAATGTGTCAATAGGACCACTTTAAAAAATGTGGAAAGATATTACATATCAATGACAACTTGGAAGGCAAAAACCAGCTGAAGTATATCAGGCCAACCATTAAACGAAATCATTAGCAATATATTTTTCAAAAATGTATTTTGTGTAGCTAAAATAGAAACTAAACCAAGTATAGAACAAAATAAAAGGGAGCAAACTTTTGGAGGAGACCACATTTTCCACGAAGACTCTTCTGGTAATAGATTTCAGTGTTGACATTTCCCTGCTCTCACTTCCCCCACTGCCAGTGAAGTCTGCTCACAAAGGAAGAATTTCTGCCATATGTGCACTTAATTGACTTTTCATTGTGCTCTTTGTTTACTTTTATGCCTTCTGAGTTTAAAATTTTTGTTTATGTTGATATTGATCAATTGTTTGAAAGTGACTTCTTAGTGGCCCCTTAGAACCCAGGGCCCTCAACGCTAGACATGTGAAAATTATAAAGAGTTTTAGATGACGGTGGTACATTAGCTGTTAAAAGAAGGCATCTTGCTTCTGTTGACTTAATTTTGCATTCCCCGTCAAAATGAAAATTTCAGGGGCATAAGATCAAAATCTGAGATAGCAAGCAAAAGCTTTGCACAGAACCTTCCACCACACTGTTGGGCTATGACAAACCAAACATGAACAAGAGTACTTAACACTGTCTCTCAGGATGTTTGGATCCAATGATAGCAAACTAAAGCTAGAGGAGCTAACAAAGGCCATCAAGGCTGGTGTCCTTCCACTGTAAGAATTTTTTCTTCAACATTCTTAACAAATGCTCATCCATCCTCTGTGTGCACACTTCTAGAGAGATATGGAGCCCACCAATTTGAGGTATAGCAAGTTCCATCAATAAACCTATGAACAGGTGTTTCTTCTCTTTTTAATTTAGAAGTATGCACAGAGAAATCAATGAACAAAGACACAAGTGGTACTGCTAATTTATAAAAGCAGAACCTCCTATGCAGCTCTTGTTTTGGACATACATGGAAAAGATCATTGGAAATTAACCATAGCAAAGGACACAGAGTTGGAAAGAATCCGAAGAATTAAGATGATAAAGAGAATATGTGTTTTGAAATAAAAATTCTCAGGAAATGAAAAGCCAAGATTTTCATTATTATTATTATTTTGAGAATAATGCTTTTATTTGGGAAAGTATTAACTGCATCGACTTAAAACATATATAGTTTACCAAACTTTTCTTTCCTTTAACTTCTACCTCTTATAACCCAGTATTTTATTTTTTTTTATTTCCATAGCCTATTTATTACTACTATTTATGCAAAGAAAAGTTTTCCATTTCCCTCCTGCTGGTTTATCTCTTTTCTATTATTCAAAATCCATTTCTTTCCAAGCTTATTCATGCTAAGAAATATATCCTAAATAAGGAATACAGATTAAATATGTATTTGAATAGCAGTAAACATGCAGAAAGAGACTTAGTGGGTTTTAGCAATAGTCTCTTACTGACAGGAAAAGAACTCCAGGCCTAAGTCCATTTGTAACACTCTAGGACAAAATTATAATAATTCAAAGCAGAAAAAAAGCAATTATGGACACTGAGAATCTAAGGGCACACACTATGCTGGATATTTTCTCTCATTTCAACTTCATCACCATGAGTAAGGGGTTTTCAGTTCCACTTTATGATAGGTAAACTCAGTCTCAAAAAAATGTGAATAACTTGCTCAAGTCATGAAGCTAGGATTCAAACCCATGCTATATCCACTGTAACATGGTGTTTCTCCAAAGGAAAAAAGAAATAAAGAACCACAATGGCATATGGTAGACATAAATGTTTCTCATCTGCAATGCTAAAAGATAATGAATAACAACATTTTAACATCTGTGATCCCTGTTAGAGTTTTTTATCTAATGGCTACAAGTTTAGAAAATTTCCTGAAATAAAAACTTTGTACAAATATGGGAAGTCAGGGTTGATGCTTTATGCTATGTACAGACTCCAACCTATGGTTGAGCTATTAAGCTACATCCCATTGATATAGTCCTACATTTTTGCATTTCTACACAAAAACAATTTTAAGGAAAGATAACATATTTTTTGGAGGCACAAGTGAGTCTCCTACCTTGTCAACGTTCATTCGCTTAAACGATGCTTGCAGAAGTTTAAAATTGTGGATATACTCGTGCTCCAACTTTGCTTGAAATTTTACTTTCTTCAAACTAATGCAGCCTGGAAAGAGCATGTCCATGAACTGGCAATAGGCCGCTCCTGGAAAGAGACAAGAAAAGTACTGGCGTGAGTTTGACCTCCCAGATACGATGGAGGATTGCTAGGCAGGAAGGGATCGTGCTTACAGGTGCCATCATCACTCAGAGCAGAGCCCTCCTGGCCACGTGTGTCCCTCTCATCACTGCACTTACACCTCCTTGTCCACGGGGGCTGGCTGCCAGAGGGAAGGGACTGTGCCTCAACCACGCAGTACCTGCCAATTCCCCACTCCTAACCACCGCGGATTACACTGCCCGCACCAGAGTATCATTCAGTTCCACGACCAGCGAACAGAGCCTCATACTATAATGCCAAGAAAACCAGAGTAAGAAAAACTCTTCCTGACTTCTGCCAGAGAAAAGGAACATATTTTTCTTCTGTCTAGCTACTATCTGCTTTGTAGTCACCAAAACAAATAAATTTAAGAGGAAAAAGCAGAACATGTAAAATGAGAGAACTACAAAAGTTGTCATGAAACATGTAGCTCAAAAAATACACACATTTGCCTGAGTTGTTTCATACTCATCTTGCAAAATCACTTGCGTGAAAACTGTATAATAAAGCCATCTAATACCCCAAACAGGTATAGACCAATTTGATTCCAGTCCAGAGCAATGGAATGCCCATGAAGTATAAAGACATGGACAACAGAAATTCAGAGTCATGCTATTAATATTTATGGTGAGAAATAAATATTGTGAGAAATAATTTATGGTGAGAAAACAGAAATGTTCAATGAGTCCCCTGATGGAATGATCATAGGAAAAGGGGATTTTTTTTGTTGTTGTTTAAATAAGAACTCTTAGAACATGACCAGGTCAACCAGAAAATCCTGGCAAGACCATGTTTACTGATTCATATCTTCTTAAAGGCTAATGGCCTTGAGGAAAAGAAGTTCAAAGCCAGAATGATTCTTTTTCTTTTACAAAAAAGAAAAGCAACTGAGTGGCAAGAATGGGAATAAGCAGCCATTTTTATGCTCTTTCTTTCTTTGCTGTCTCTAGATCTCTTGTTCTGTTCCCATGATGTGCCAATCATCAGTCTTTCTGGAACACGAAGGGCCTCCTTTCATCCTTTACCATCAAGGTTTCTGTGAGGAGCCTTTCTGTGACTCATTTTTAGACAGGAAGGACTCACTCAGTCTCTTATGTCAAACAGATGACAAACACCCTTTACTGAGATAGGAATCCAAGATAAGAGAGAAGACAACACCAGGAATCTAAGAGATGCTAGGATGGGAAATGCTGGGGCAACTCATATTTTGTAGATAAGAGCACATAGTAATGCAATATAGGCCATAATATAATAAATATCTCCTCAGTCTCTGCATCTGGCTTCTCCTTAGACACCAATTCCCTAAATACTAACTAGTGAGTTCCTAGTTAAGCAGATGGGTTCTCTTAAAAACGAGACAAAATAAAACAAATCAAAATGGAAAACCTTGGGGAAGGTATGAGAAACATCATGATCTGGGGGGCGTTCTTAGAGTCATCATCCAATCAATACTAAGTTGTAAAGGGATTCTTTTCTCCATTGTATATTTTTTGTCTGCTTTATCATAGATTAAGTTGCCGTATACTGATGGTTTCATCTCTGGTATCTCAGATCTATTCCAGATATTGATGCTTCTGTTCTTGTGCCAATACCAGGCTGATTTAACTATTATTGCTTTATAGTACAGCTTGAAGTCAGGAAGACTGATGCCTCCCAGTTTGTTCTTTATACTTAAGATTGCTTTGGCTATACGAAGTTTTTTCTGGTTCCATACAAAGTGAAAAATTATTTTTTCTAGATCTGTAAAGAATGCTTGTGGTATTTTGAAGGAGATTGCATTAATTCTGTAGATCACTTTAGGTAATATTGACATTTTAATGATACTGATTCTACCAATCCATAAACAAGGTAGATTTTTCCATCTGTTTAAATCATCTGCAATTTCTTTTAGTGTTTCGTAGTTCTCCTTATATAAATCTTTCATATCTTAGGCAGAAGATTGAAACAGGATCCCTACCTCTCACCTCTCACAAAAATTCACTCAAGATAGGTAACAGACTTAAACCTAAGGCTTGAAACCTTAAGAATCCTAGAAGAAGATGTTGGGAAAATCCTATCAGATATTGGTCTAGGCAAAGAATTTTTGAGGAAGACCCCCAAGGCAATCGCCGCAGCATCAAAAATAAACAAATGGGATCTCATCAAATTAAAAAGTTTCTGCACAGCCAAGGAAACTATCATTAGAGCAAATAGACAACCCACAGAATGGGAGAAAATATTTACTCTCCACTTCTGATAAAGGTCTAATAACAAGAATCTATCTAGAACTTAAAAGAATTAACAAGAAAAAAAATCAAACAACCCCATCAAGAAATGGGCCACAGAAATGAACAGAAACTTCTCCAAAGAAGACAGAATAATGGCCTGCAAACATATAAAAAATGCTCAACATCTCTAATCATCAGAGAAATACAAATCAAAACCACAATGAGATATCACCTAACCCCAGGAAGAATGGCCTGTATCAAGAAATCCCAAAACAACAAATGCTGGCGAGGATGTGGAGAGACAGGAACACTATTACACTGCTAGTGGGACTGCAAATTAGTGCAACCTTTGTGGAAAAGAATTTGGAGACACCTCAAACAGGTAGAAATAGAAATATCACTTGACCCGGCAATAGCATTGTTGGTCATCTAACCAAAAGAGCATAAGACATTCTATTATAAAGACATTTGCACTCGAATGTTTATGGCAGCACAATTCACTATTGCAAGGTCATGGAAACAACCCAAGTGCCTGTCAATTTAGGAGTGGATAATTAAAATTTGGTATATGTTCACAATGGAATATTACTCAATTATAAGAAATGACAGTGTGCTAGCACTGTTTATGCTAACCTGGATTAAGCTTACGCCCGTCATCCAAAGTGAGGTGACACAAGATCAGGAAAATGGGCTCCACATCTACTTGCCATCAAATTGGTACTGACTGATTAAAACTATGGTGCTCAATTGGTGGTAGTGTTCACCAGGGATTGGGAGGGGGGAGACCCACATCCTAGGGATGTAGCGGGCATTGTGGGGAGAAGGGAATACCTCTAACCCTTCTTAGGGAGAGGCAATGTAATACAATGTAACCAAAATGTCAAAAAAAAACCCAAAACACCAAAACTTTTATCAGATGGTGGGCAGGTGGAAGGGGGGAGGAGAGGAAGGGTGTATACTTACATAATGGGTGTGGTGTGCACCACCTGGGGGTTGGACACACTTGAAGCTCTGGCTTAGCGGGCGAGGGGAGGGGTGGCAGGGGCAATATATATAACCCTAACAATATTTGTACCCCCATAATATAATGAAATAAAAGGAAAAAAAAATACTCAGTTGTTCCTTCAGAAGGGCCACCTGATGGAACAAATTCCAACTGCCATGTTATCAGTGTCAAAACACAACTGCCTCATTACCTGCTCTTTGAAGTTTTTTTTTCATTTTTGTAGAGTTTAGCATAAACTTTACATATGGAGACCAAACCAACCAACCAAATCATTCACATGTCAAATTTAAGAAGACATAACAGCTTTTTATTTTTTTTAAATCGTCAACATAGGAAGGGAAGGAAGAAAAAATCATCTCCAGTGTTATCATCGAGAGATAACCACTGGTAATGTTCTGCAATGTTCTGGTACATGCCATTCTAATCCTTTTTGGGGGTAGTAGGTTTCTATATAAGCAAAAAATATATATTATATATATTTTAATATATATTATATGTAATATATATTTATATATTATATATATTTTTTCTTCAAAAATGTGATCCTGTAATATTTTTAAAATGTAATCATGTTATACCTATTTTATGTGTAAACAATTTTTTTAACTTAACTTACTTTGTCTTTGGGGAAAAAGTAAATAAAAAAAAGAAAAAAACATTTTTTTAACTTAATGGACCATTAATTCCCTTTCTGACTTATTTAATATTCTCCACCAATATTTTTAATAGCTTTCTGATTTTTATATCATGCTTATCAACTTTCCCAAATCCAGATTACATAAATATTCATGCATATTTTCATCAAGTACTTTTACAGTCTCAAGTTTTACATTTCAATTCCGAATCCATGTGGAATTTATTTTGGTTTATGATATAAAGTATGGTTTTAATTTTAGTCATTCTGAATGTTAGTGGAACCTGCCATTTTTGGATCCCCAGCAACTGGACACCTCCCTACCTGGGGAGATGCTGCAGTGCTTTGCCTCCCACCACAGCAGAGAAAGGCAAGCAGGCATCCCTTTCCTGCCCCCAGCAGTAGGGATGCAGGCCCATGACCTAGGCTCTGCATTCAAATTCTGCCTGGATCTCCAACTGGAGGGAGTGACAGAAGTACACAGGGACCATTAGAGTTTAGAAATGGCAGCGGTGGGGTCCAGCATTCTGAACAGATCCTTAGTATCCTTTGAGTCCGTCATCTTTTGGCTTTCCATGGACTTTCCATGGAGACTGAGCTACTTAATATTTTCCCTGTAAATTCCTCTTCTGCGTAAGCTTGCTAGGATTAATTTCTGCTATTTTTAATGAGTGAGATATGCACCATCTGGGGGATGGTCATGCTGGAAACTCAGACTTGTGGGGGGTGGGGGGAAAGGGCATTTATTGAAACCTTAAAATTTGTACCCCCATAATATGCCAAAAAAAAAAAAAATTTCTGCTATTTTTTTCAACCCAAACTACCAATGGATAAAGTTAGCTAGGTGTTGAATACCACCATTTAATAGATAATTTATACTTTCCCCACTGATGAGAAGCAGTATCTTCATTATACATTACCTTCCCAATATATGTACTTAGGTTATTTTCCAGACTTTAAATTGGTTTTTTTAAAGCCTGTCTCTATGAAGGTCCACTCTTATTTATTTGAAATTCTAAAATTATTGAATTATTTGAAATTCTATCTGTAGAATAACTTTCCCTCTTCTTTCTCAAAATTTTCCTAAATTGTATTATGC